ACCCCATTGCCATTTCTCTCATCCCAAGTCTCATCTCAGATGATGAACTAGAGACTGCTAGTTCTTTTCAATATCTGTTCTCCCCTTCTTCATTAGTGTTAGAACCATTGATTTTTAGCTGGGCACATGGTTACCCAATAAAAACTGCACTTGACTAAGAGAGAATAGTGTAGTGATGTATACAACTTTTGCAAGGGGTCTAGAATAAAGGCATGTGTTCCTTTCTGCCCCTACCTCCTTTTTCTCACTGGAAAAAGGATGTAATGGCTGGAGCTTGAGCAGCCACGATGGATCACAAGGTAGAAGCTGCATTTAGGATGGGAAAGCCATGAAGAAAAGAGCTTGTTGCTCTGCTGATTAGAGTAATCTATACTGATGTGAGAGTAACACATTTTACTTTCTTTAGGCTACTGTTACTTCGAGTTTTTTAACTGCTACAGAAATCAATACCTGTATGAAAATATATTGTTTAGGGTAATTTTCTGGTGGCAGTAACAAGAATCATTCAAAGCTATATAAAGCAAAAAGGGGGAATTATTTTAAGGACAGAAGTCTTTCTTACAGAACCTATGGGAAGAGATGAAGGAAGCTTCAGTAATAGATTGGTAGCTGGAATTAAAATACTAAGGGGAGACCAGGAAGCTCTCTGATTGTGTCTCATCTTGCCTCTTTTCCTTCTTACTAAAAATTATTTACATAGTTGGCACAGAGAAGCAACAAATAAATATTTGTTTGATGGATGGCAATTTGTGTGTGTGATAAACTAGATTCAAAGTCAATTCTCAAAATGTTTTCTTATATATATGTAGCTTGTTAAAGTGATTCTTTTGAAGGAGGGATCATACTATCTAGAGTCTAAGCTCTCTGTTAAACCCTTTCTCTCAATTTTTCCCAGTTGCCTATTCTAACGTCAGAAAAGGGTCCTGAAATACAGAGTTGTTCGTAATTAATATCATGATAACACTTTCAAGATTGCTCCACTTTTGTCCAGAAGTTGTGAAAGCCAGTTTTTATAAGAAAGCAAGCATTGGCACTCAGCAACTATGTTGCTAGACAAGGAAGTGATAGATTACTTTTGGTACATTTTTTCTATAATTGTCTCTTGTTTTCATTTCATTTTTGCATTGTGATTATTTACTGAGTTCTCACTTATACCTAGTTTTTGCCCTTCCTGATTTCTCATATTCTTGCCAGCTCTTTGATATGTTTGATAGGACATTTTACATATTTTATGAGCACTTTAAGTTGCTTTTGGTGGAAGAATCAGCCAGAATCTCTAGTCTGCCATACCACTAGACACTAAAGTCCAACATTCTTTTTAGAGTTTTCACTTGATTCGGTTGTAAGATATTAACCTGCATTCCAAACAACAGAGGTAGGGTTCTCACTCTGGTGGCCTAAGCTTCCCATCCACAAACACGAAGAATAATTACCTTTCCACCTGCATCAAACTGTTTTTTGTATGGGACTCATGTAATCATTAACATGAAGTCAGTTTGCAACTGGAAAATACCGTGAAAACACACATTTTCTTAACTTTAAAAACAAAACATAGGCATATAAGTAATAAAAGTTATAACTAAGGGTAATAACCTTAGAATAGGTTGTGAAATTTAAAATTTCTGTGTCTTTGCACTCATCTCCTTTGCTTCTGGCCCAAGGTATTTTAAATGAGAAAGTCTTAAGATTAAAAAAATATTATTTTATTTGTTATATTTGATATTCATTGTATAATTTACATTTTTAGAAAATAAAAAGAAAAATAAAGAGAAGAAGCAATCTTGAGCACACTATAAAATCTTTCACTTTTTTTTTTTCTTTTGAGATGGAGTCTCGCTTTTATTGCAGGCTGGAGTACAATGGCGGGAGCAGCTCACTGCAACCTCCACCTCCCAGGTTCAAGTGATTCTCCTGCCTCAGCCTCCCAAGCAGCTGGGATTACAGGCGCCTGCTACCACACCTGGCTAATTGTTCTATTTTTAATAGAGAGGGGGTTTCATCATGTTTCCCAAGCTAGTCTTGAACTTCTGATCTCAAGTGATCTGCCCACCTCCATGATTACAGGCATGAGCCACTGCACCCGGCCTTTTGTTTTGTTTTTATGAGACAGAGTCTCACTCTGTCACCCAGGCTATTGTGCAGTGGCGTGATCTCGGCTCACTGCAACCTCTGTCTCCTGGATTCAAGTGATTCTCCTACTTTGGCTTTCCAGGTAGCTGGGACTACAGGTGTGCACCATCACGCACAGCTAATTTTTGTATTTTTTTTTGGTAGAGACAGGGATTCACTATGTTGGCCAGACTGGCCTCCAACTCCTGACCTCAAGTGATCCACCCACCTTGGCCTCCCAAAGTGTTGAGATTACAGGCATGAACCACCACGTCCATCCAAATAATCTTTCACACTTTAAAATTTTGTGAAATAGCTGTCCTTTTTATATATGGGTATACTATGAAACTTAAGATGCTCACAGTACTTAACATATTTTGTAGGCTGAGATTCTGAGTGTCTAACATTCTGTAATGTATCTTGGTCTCTGTACTGCAAGAACACTGAAATATTATTATAGGTAACTATATTACTCATCTCAAACAGTGCTAGCAGGTTAAGTATTCAAGAGGAAACATCCTTCAGTATATTCCAAAAAGCCTCATGGATGGTAGGTGATTTGTAAATGGACCAACAGGACTCGGGCATATGGTTACTGCTATTTCCTGTAGATCATGTTGTCTTAGGTCTTATGTAGAATATATTATAGGACTTGTCCTCTAAACATTCACATACTCAAGACTGCACTCTACATGCATGCCATTCATTCCTTCTGCATTTTTTAAGTCCTACTGCATGTCAGACCTTGTGCCTGTTCTTAAGAAGCTCACAGTCTAGGAAAATGGTGAAATATATCTACAATTATAACTCAATGTGATAAGTGTTACAAAGCGATAAGGTGTTATGGAAGCACTGGCGGGGCACTTAGCCCATACTGGAGTGGGTGGGATAGGGCTGAGTGGCCAACAACAGGGAAAGGTTCACAATGGAACTGATGTCTAGGCTAAATAATGGATAATGAATAACTGGGAAGCCAAGGAAAAGGTAGGAGATCAAGACATAAAAAGAAACAGCATATGAAAATACAGAGATGTATATAAGTATGGCAAGACTGGGGGGCCCAAGTGGTTTGCTGTATATTTAATTTATTCATTCCACATAGCTATTATTGACATACTTGTCTCCCCATGTAGGTTTGAGTCCTTGGATGGTGGGGACTTTGTAATGGTTTCTCTGTCCCTCTGTCTAACAGGAGGCACACAGATGGAGTGCAGTAAAATGTATGATGAATGAATGACCAGCTATGTGGTATAAGGGAGAATAGTTAGGAGTCCATTAATGAGAAGGGTCATTTCTAGTGGCAATGAGTATCAGATAAGATAGATTTAAGAATTATTTAGAAATTAGGATAAATAAGACTTGGTGACATATTGATGATGGGGTATAAAATAAGAAAAGCCGACTTTCAAGGTTTCTGGATTATAGATTCATGGTAATAGTTATAATGGTATAATAACAGCTAATATTCATTAGGCACTGTGTCACGAAGTACATAAAGTGTTTACATGAACTAAGCCATTTAAACGCTCAATGACTCAGTGAGGCAGGTTCTCATATACTTATTTACAGATGAGAAAACTGGGGCTATAGAGAGATTCACTTGCCCAAGATCACTCAGCTAGCAGGTGGCAGACTCAAACCCAATAATTCTGACTCCAACAGCCATGCACATAGTCTACTTTTCTTTACTGCCTCTAATAGATGAGATTAATACCCAGAATGATAGTCCTATTCAATATGTGTATCACATAAACTGCACGTTTCTCTTTTGCTAAACATAAACTCATACGATGACTGCCTCTTTATTTTCTTATTTTTGGGAGCTTGGCTTTTTCTGTATTTTTCCTTCCTGGAGGACCTAAAGTGGGGTGGAAGTTTGATAAAACAGTTGACAGAAAAGATGAGATAAGGCAGGTACAGACAAGACATTCTCGAATGCTCTGGCAGTTGCTGGAATGGTGGGATCTGGGTTCTACAGGATTCCTCCCCTCCCATCCCCCGCCACACACACGTCGTAAGGTGTATATGGCCATGGAGTCTCAGGTTGGTTCTAGGAGTCCTCAATTCACGACGAAGGTGCCGCTTGCCCTTCCTGGGGAGCCCGACATGCTTGAAGTCAACCTGAGGCCGCCTCCCCGGCCCCCGCCTGTTCCCAGGGAAACCGCCCGCGGAGGAACCTGGGGCCAGGGCCATGACACCTGCGACGAGCCCCGCCTGGCGCCAGGGGGCGCGGAAACGCGTCCGCCCCAAGGCCTCAAGCCGGGTTGGCCCCGCCCCTGCCGGCCACACCCCCTCCCCGCCCTCCCTCCGTGAGGATCCGCCGCTCCCGGCCCCGGCCCCGCTCCCGGCGCAGGCGCAGTCCCGTGTTCTCGCAGCAGCTGCCGGCGCCTTGAGCCCGCCGCCACGGAGTGTAGCGGGAAGGGCTGGCCGCCCTCCTCCGCCTCTCGCTGCTTCGGGGCGCGCTCTCTGCGGCTCTGTGAGCGCCTCTGAGCGCCGGCCGGGGCGGCGGTGGGTTAGTCAGGTGAGTGGGGCCGCGGGAGGGAGCGGCCCGGGGCGTGGAGCACCGCCCCCCTCGGCGCCCGCGCGCCCGCCTCCCGCGAGTCGGCCGGGAGGGGCGGCCGCCGCAGGTGCAGGTGCAGGCGCTGTGGAGGGCGCGGCGGCGGGGATTCGGCGGGATGCCCCGGCCCGGCGAGCGCGCTGTCCGCCTGGGCACTCGGGCTCCGGGCCCTTGGGGGCGGCGTGTGAGGGCCTCGGCGCCCCAGGTCAGCCGGCCACCCTCTGGGCTGCTAGTGGGCGTCGTTCGGCGGCTCCTCCCCCGGGCACGGGCGCGTTACTCATTAACTGCGCGGTCCCGCGCGCCCGGGGCGGGGAGCCAGAGCCGGGCGGGTTACCTGGCGGCGGGCGGGCGGGAGCGGCGGAGAGAGGAGGGCCGGGGTCGCGAAGTGGGTGAAGAGTTCCCGAGCAAGTCAGAAGCCGCTCACAGCACCGGACGCCGTGCGGCAGGACTGGGGACGAGGCAGTACCCGTGGACAGGTGGTGGTTTCGCGCCCCAGTCTTAGGAAAGGACGCGCGAGGCACCGTGCCGAGGCGTAGAGGTCACCCTCAGGAGGTTTCGGTGAAACCTAGTGGGAAATTACGGGCAGGTGCCCGGAGTCGCGCCCGAGGATCTCCGTGCAGCCCGACTCGTGTTCCAGGGAGTTGAGACGAGCTGCACGGGTGGGATTGCGCCGGCTCTGCCCTCCCAGCATTGACTGCTCGCCCCGACCGTCCCGGGAAGCGCGAGCTTCCTGGCTCCAGAAGTGATGATGCTGCTGGGTAGAAGCCGCAGCGAGTGAAGAGTTGCCGGTTGTTATGGGATTGAAAAAGAGATCTCTGCAATGGCTAAGGGGTAAGGTCTTGAAAGACAGGAGCGCTGAGTTAGTACTGATTCGCGAGAGGCAATTGAGTTTCGTGGAAATGTTGCCTGTTCGGAGGCTACCTGTTAGACGCTCTCCTGCTACCCCCGCCCCACCTTTTCCTTTCAGTGTCGGGTTAACAGCCTTGTAATCTCTTGCAGTGGAATGATTGCATAATTGGAGGGGCCTCTAAGAGGATTACAACAAAACTGGCCCATTGTAAATCAACTGAAAGACCCAGTTCTTGTTCATTATCCTTTTTCTCATTTTGTTGTTCATGAAGGTTTTTTTTTTTAATGGTGAATGACAAATCAAGGAGAAAAGACGCAGAATAAGAGTTATAGACCAAGCATAGTAAATAATTGATACTGTTAAATATTTCACCAGTTTTAGGGGGCCTTGTTCTGTTACCATTTGTTATTATTAGTGCTGTGCATTTCTGTAGGACTTTTCGTGTTTGGACAGACATTGTATTCCAGATACAGTTTATGTGATCTAATCCTAAAGCCCTTGTGGAATTTATAGAAATAAACAGGTAATTAAGTAGTCTTTTTTTTAATGATTAGAGGAAAAGCCTTTGCATTTTTTTCCCCCATTACAGTAGTGTTGTGAACCAAGGTGTTTAATATAACTCTTCCTTGTGTGTTTGGCAAACAGCTTATCTGGTATTGAATACTTGTAACCTTTCACCAGCTGCTTTGTGAGATTTCTGAATAGATCCTATTGTACTTTTTGAATTAGTGTAGTTAACCATATGCTTCCTTTAATATTCTTTATCTTTTATTTTCCCTAAACTCTCATCTTCCCCCAACACACACACACATCCTCTACAAATAATTTTTAAAATTGAAAGGTTCTTAGAAATCTTTCACCCCTTCATTTTTTAAACATGGCAGGAAAAAGACCTTGTAGATTACAGTAGTTTTATATGCATTATGGTAGTTAGTATACTTTATTCTCCTCAGCAGGACTGAACAAATTAGTAAGCTGGGTGAATGAAAAATTATTTAAGGTTCAGCTCCATCAGTTACTATGCATGAAACCTTGAGTAAATCATTTAACCTCTTTGAGCTTATTTTCTCCATTTGTCAATGGAAATACTATTAGGTTGAAACTGCTAATATTCTGCTGTTTACGTTTCAACTAATGTGAACTTCCTAATGGTGAGATGAGGATTTAATAAGATACTCCATTAGAGATGAGGGGAAGTGGGGAAGGAACAAACATGAGCTTGACTGTGTGCAAGGCACTGTGTGTGTTTGTTTTCGGTACCTTGATTCTTTAGTCCTCTGGACATTCCTGGGATATAGGTGGTTTATCAAATTTTACAAATCAGGAAATGGAGGCTTAGATAGTTGCAATAATTTGGCTGGACGCGTGGCTCACGCCGGTAATCCCAACATTTGGGGAGGCCGAGGCGGTGGATCACGAGGTCAGGAATTCGAGACCAACTTGACTAAAATGGTGAAACCGTGTCTCTACTAAAAATACGAAAATTAGCCGATCATGGTGGTATGTACTTGTAATTCCAGCTACTCAGGAGGCTGAGGTGGGAGAATCGCTTGAACCTGGGAGGCGGAGGTTGCAGTGAGCCTAGATGGTGCCACTGTACTCAAGCCTGGGTGACGGAGTGAGACTCAGTCAAAAAAAGAAAGTTGCAATAATTTGTCTGTAGTTACTTAGTTGGCAGTGGTCATAGAGCTGGCCAGTGACAGAGCCAGTATTAAAAACTGTATCTGACTGCCCAAAGTGGAACTTGGTGCTCTTCTTTCTTACATTCCTGGTGTGTACTTTCTGTTAAAGAGCTTTGTAACTATAAGGAGGCACACAGATCAGAAGTGTTACCATTTGTATTTTTGGTTTAAAAATACCCACGTTTTCTGATGACAGTGATAGCAGCATTGCTACTACAGTTACTTTTAAGTCTAGTGCTTATCATGCCAAGTCCTGGTCCAAGCATTATACTAACTCATTTACTCTCACAGTGAGCTAGGAGATAATACTTCATCCTTATGTTATAGTTGAGAAAATTGAGATGCTGAGACCTTATGTAGTTTGCCCAAGGTCACGTAGTTAATTAAATGACAGGCCTAGATTAGATGTCAGTTTGTCTTCCATGTCTGTGCCCTTAACCACTACACTCTGTCATTTCTTCATGGCTTAAGTGGTAATGCGGAAGAATCGTTTGCTCATAATCACTGCATTGTCGTTTGTTTATGTGTAGCTTATAATGCTGAAGAACTGTTTTTAATTTAGCTTTTATGAGATACATAATATTAATGTAACATGTAATTCTCATTGTGTCACCAGAAATTTTTTAAATCAAATATTCATTGAGCGTCTACTCTGCAAGTCACAGTAGGGGTTAAAGGAAACTATTTATAAGGAATATGGAAGGTAGGGCCTTATAATCATTCCCTATCTTTGATAAGTTCTTTAAAATTTAGAAGGCAGTTTGTATATTTTAATGAATGCCAACTAAGACAAAGTGCTAGGATAGTTGAGTAGTTGAGAGGAAGGACAGATGGGTAGTGGGTAGAGAGATTTGTGCATTGAGGTAATGAGGGAAAGCGTTGAGGATATTCTGAAGGAGTACGTTTTTTCAAACTAAGCTTTTGTCCACTATGATTCTGATTAAGATGTGGTTCAACAAAAGATAGTAAATTGGTTACTATGCACATGATATCCTAAAAAAAAATCTGAGCCTTTGAAAACTGCTTTCTAGCTAGTTTCTCCTATTTTGTACTACTATCCTTAGTTGTACCAGGTAGTATTCTGTTTTAAAATTTTATGCTTTTATAATAACTTAGTATATATCTCTTCGTTGGTATTGATGAGCTTTGATATTTGTGTTGTATTTGTAACCGTTTCTAGGGCCGTAGAAGCATGTTAATTGACAAGGTGGTTTCTTCCTCTAGTCTACAAGTGCTTTGAGAATAGGACTTACATCATTTTGTAGCTTTAACATTGGGCCTGATAGGTTCTGTGCTGTGTTTGGTGATTTTGGGTCAGCTGAAAAATGTTAGGATGTATTGAAGCTGATCTAGTGGTAGAAATTGAAGTGAACATTGAGTGAGAAATGAAGGGACAAAGGAAGGAAGAAGGGGATACTTCTACAACTGGGAGCATTAACTTCTTGTTTCTATTTTCCCTTCTGTTTTGTTTTTTTTTATTCCAACTTAAAACTAAATGAGATAGTTTTATAAGCTTACATTGTATATAGTCATGGTTAGAGAAAAGTGGAAAAAGTAACCTGATTTATCTTAGAATATAGACAACACAAAATTAGGTAACTATAACCATAAACTGATATTACTTAGAGAAAAAAGAAGGAAAATTATTGAATTAGTTCAAGTTCATGAAAGATTAATGCTTGTAGTTAACAATAGGATTGTACGTATAAGCATAGTGGCAGTTGATGAAATTTCCCTGAGAGGTATGGTTACGTACACAAATAAGTATATGAATTGACAGTTTAGTATAAAGAAATTCTATTCAAAAATGTGAGAATACCCTATAAGCACAAAGGAGCATACAGATGATAGCTTAGAACCACTTAAATAAATGAATTATAATTTGATATGCCCAGATAAGTGTAATAGTGTTGAATATTTGTTTGGGGGCACCTGGTTGTCAGATAAGGAGAAAGTATAAAAGCAAAACCAAAATAAGTTTGAAATAACAAGGAAATTTGTATCAATTCCCTGTGAGGAAAATAATAATGTTTGAACAATAGGCCTCAGAAAGAGTAGTTTTCCCCTTCTTTCCCCTTTATCTAAGGTAAATAAAGATCCCTTCTGATTTGTAAGGCAAACTCCTCAGTATGCTTTTGCTATTTCCCCCTATTACTTTTTTCCTCTTTCTTAGATCTTTATAAAATCATACATTTGTGTTGTACTTTACAATGTTTACAACATTTTTACATTGATATGCCATTTGATTTTCTCAAATGTAGGCAGGGGAGATAATATCACTACCATTGTAGATGTCAAAACTGAAGCTTAGAGATATTAAATGACTTGTACCAGTTCACACAGCTTGTCAGTGAAGAACTAGAAGGAAGGTTTTCTGAAGTTAGTCTGTTAAAATGCTCAGGTTTTCTCAAACTTGTTTCTCCAGTTTTAATACTCTTACAAGGTACTTACTGTTTCATTCCTATGTTTTTCAGCAAAAACGTAGCCTGACTGTCTTCACTCTTCACTGCTTTGCCATTCATTTCTTCTCTAAAGACTTGTTTGTTTATTCAATCAGTGCATACTTCAGTACCTATTGAATGTTTACTTGACATATATTCTTAAGAGGATATACAAAATGAGGCTTCAACTTTTGAGAAAAAGAAATTTCAAAAATGATTTTTTTTTATTATACTTAAAGTTCTGGGATACATGTACAGAATGTGCAGGTTTGTTACATAGGTATACACGTGCCATGGTGGTTTGCTGCACCCATCAGCCTGTCATCTACATGAGATATTTCTCCTAGTGCTATCTCTTCCCTTCCCCCTCACACCCCAACAGGCCCGGGTGAGTGAAGTTCCTTTCCCTGTGTCCATATGTTCTCATTGTTCAACTCCCACTTATGAGTGAGAACATGTGGTGTTTGGTTTTCTGTTCCTGTGTTAGTTTGCTGAGAATGATGGTTTCCAGCTTTAACTATGTTCCTGTGGAAAATGATTTTTCAATATTTCTGTAAATGTTAAGTTCTGTTAAACTTTAAATAAATAATTACAAATATTTATTTGTAATTATTTGTAATTAAATATTTAATTACAAATATTAAATATTTAATTACAAATAATTATACATATTTGTAATTAAATACAATATTTGTATTTAATTACATACATATTTATTTGTAATATTTAATTACAAAAATTTATTAAATATAAAAAATAATGAAAATTATTTATTTTATAGCTTTAACATTGGGCCTCATAGGTACCGTGCTGTTTGGCGATGGTCACTTGAAGAATGTTAGGATAATTACAAATATG